AAATCATTTGCCTGGATATTTCTTGTGCCTTCCTGTTATCTCCTGAATACTTTACATTTTGTGCTGCACTTCACAGTACAAAGTCAATCACAGTCTTATCAGGCCTATTTTTACATCCACATATATATCCCATGTACACCTGAACATAAGCAGTTTTATCTCTAATTATCCCTCAGAAAAGTCATCTTTCTTTGGGCCAAGGAAAATCTCCTTATGAGGAGCACTCTAATTCCTTATTTCAACTGCAGGTAATATTTGGTGAAATCACATTAGATTGAAGCCATTTCAATCAGCATTGGTTTCAGAATGCTAAAAAAAGCCAGTAGATGAATTAGTTACAAACAAGAGGCGAAGAAATTTACCAATGATTTAGTCACTATTCTTGGAGATATGACCTCAAAAACAAGCACAGGACGTGTTATATAACAAGCATTTTAAAGATTATTTTTAAGAACAATGTCAGTGGTTACAATGTGGAAATCAATTACCTACAGGATGAATGAATTGCTAACGTGATATTTACACAATGGGTAATTTGAAGTATGGGATTTCTTATAAATTATACATATGTAAAACATTACTCTCTCTCAAAGAACATGACTTTCAAATAAACTTAGACAATAAGCTGGCAAGCTTTGAAAAACTAGTAGGTGTCTCAAAATATCAAAGATAAATATGAAAATAATAGAACTCACGAGTGGGAAAAACTTTAATATAGGGCTGGCTGAGTAGCACATTGGTTAAGAGTTGGTTTGGGACGCCAGAGTGCCCCAGTTCGGATCCCACATATGAGGGCCAGTGACACTGCCCTCTACAGCTAAGATGCTGAACAACAGCTCAACCTGGAGCTGGGCTGCCATGAGTCACCGGCCCCGGCATAGGCTGCAGCCCCCGCTGCAGTGGGTTGCCATGGGCTACCGTGTGTAGCCAGCAGCCAGCGTGAGCGGCCAGCAGCCGCCTTGAGCGGCCGTCCAGAATCTGGCGACTGATCTGCCTTGCCCAGGAAGAGCGCAATGATGGTGCCAGCTTGGGCCAGTAAAGCAATGTCCTCCACAACTAGACTGAAGAACAAAAAGACAGCAACTTGTCTGTTCCCCTTCCCCAATGTCCCAGCACTGTTCCCATCCCCCAATTCCCCAATAAAAATCTTTTTAAAAAAATGCATGTTTACTTCATCTCTAAATTATGAATTATACATTCAAATCTCAAATTTGTTTTTTTACAATTATCCTAGTGTATTTTAGGCAACATCCATCACTACCCCTCCCCAAATAAATCACACTAGACCAAGGATTCTCAGCCTCAGCCCTACTGACATTTGAGACCAGATAACTCTTTATTTTGAAGGCTGTCATGTGCATTGCAACACGTTTAGTAGCTTTCCTGGCCTCTCCTCCTCCAGTTGTGAAACAAGTCTCTAGACATGTCAAATGTCCACTGGGGATAATCACGCCAATTGAGAGCCACTGCATCAGACAAATGCTGTCAAATATCTCGTTAAGTAATTTCCACATTTTTATATCCCATTTTCTCATCTGAAGTTTAGTTAAAATACAGGTTCCTTTCTGGAGAAAACTTGGTTACTATTACCATTACCCATCTACTTCTCCGTAAGTTTATAAAAATAAGAAATTTAAGGCAGTTATGTACAGCTGTTGAGGAATAGTAATATTACAAAATACACATTTATCAAAATAAAGGGTTCATAGAACCAAATCCATAAAAGATAAAGCAGTTGAAGTCAATCTTCAACTGAATGGAAATATTAGATATTAACTATGCTATTAGCACTTGACTGCATTCTGATTTTTTTTTCTTTTGTTCAAACTTTCCTTCTCCGAGACAAACAGATTTTTTCTTATCCTCATTATAGCAACTTAAGTTATCAGTGCTAAAGAAAAGTTTAGATATGGTCAACAGCAGATAATCCAAACAGCTTGATGTGGGAGAACATTTAATTTTTACTTTTTGCCATCTGGATAGGAATCCAGATGGCAATATTAATTTATAGCCCTTGAATCTCTAAAAGACAGAGGAAAGAGAGATGAGTACAAAATTACCTGAAGAATTTGGACCAAGGTTAAATATTCATTAAGGATAACTGAATGTGAACTATAATTTTTTCCAAACACTTTATTTTCATGTGCTGATGTAATGGTTTACATCCAAATACAATCAAATACAAAACAGAATGCAAGACTCATATTTTATAGTCTGTATTAAAAAAAAAACTCTTTATTAAACCTCTTACAGTAGGATCCCTTTAAAATATAAATACAAAAAAATTCTAGGATTGTCACCAAAAATAGGAATCAATGAGCGATGGTATTAGAAGTTATTTTCCTTTATGTTGCTGAATTCTCAGACTTTTTCCACAATCAATGTTTTTTTCAAACCTTAAGCAAAATTCTCTTTGCATTGCCCTTTTCCACCAATTTTATCAGTTTATGGCCAACTTGCACAATTGCTGACACTAATCTTGTTTCCTGGATTTTATTTCAATGTATCCTGAACTTTTCCTACACTACTTTTCATTAAAGGCATTTCCTATTAATCAAAGTTAAAACGTGAACTTTATAATTTGTTTTCAGATGAAAATTACACGTAAAAAGCCAACTATCTTATAATTAGATCCTCACATTAGAAAGGGAATACTCTATGCAACATAAGACAAACCACAGCTCTTACCTTTGTATTTCCTGGTTTAATAAAAACTGTCAAGTTTCTTTTTAAAAGAGTACACATATACATTTTTAATTTGGCATTCCACATTCAGTAAAAATCAATTCAGATTTTAATTACTGTGGAATTTTGACAATTCTCACAATGGTGAAAATGAATTTTATCTTGCTGTTACCTAGCAAAAACCAAATAACATTATACGATTTCAAATGTTTAACCCGGTAAAAATGAGAATATATTTCAATTAAGAACAATCATCTAAAAATAGTATTGCTATCTAGTCATATGAGTTTCTCATTACATTTCTGCAAGTTCTACATGTTTAGAATAAATGTATCATTCACATAATACTATAGTCCATGAAAAGAGTATATTCTTTTATTGTTTTTGTTCATACATGGTAAATTTCAACTTTCAATCATAAAATTCAATAAATTTGATTCCTTAATCATAAAAACTTGCTTTACACATTATTTACATGTTGCCAAAGTCCACAGCCATACAAAACATCACAAGGATTTGACTCTACCAACACACAGGAGGAGGAACTTATCAAGTAACATACATTCCAAGATTAATTTGTAGATATGCAGTGTATTTGGCACTGTTCATTAACAACATAACACCTTCCTCTCTTCAGACAGGCATTATTAGGCCTTGGTCACAATATACCAGAATTTGCTATTCGTATCAAAACCAGATTTCAGTATTTGTAACAGTGATCACTTTTAAGAAACAAAACACAACCAGAATTGGGAACAGAATTCAAACCCTTTGACTTCTTGTTATGCTCCAAGCCGCCATCTATAATGTAAGTTTAATTTGATCATTTTTCCATTGTGGGGAGTAGCAGGAAGAAACAACTTAAAGACAATATCCTTCAATACACATAAAGACAAACAATTCTCTTTAAAATAATCAGTTCTTCTTGGGAGCACAAAGGGAGCCTTGACAATGCAAAACTGGTGATAATTTTGGCAGGAATTATAGAATGACCAATTCCACTCAAGTTGTGGAGGTCATACTTGCAGTTGAATTCATGAGAAGGATCTGGAATGCCTATATCTGAATTCAGAATCCTTAGCAACTTGTTTTAAGGGTCTCTTCCTAGGACTGAACAGACTTGGGTCACAGGTTACAGATTTACTCTGATGTGTAACACTAACTACATTGCTATAAAATGGAAGGAGAAAATAAAGTACAAAGACTCAACTACTAAAACTTTAGCAACTCTAGCTATATCCCAATGGGTAATTCATTCGACTTACTTCCTTTTAACAAATACTAAATCTCTTCACTTCGATTGGGCCCATTAAATTAAATTCATTAAAGCGATACATACTCCAGAATGTTTAAAAAGACACATTTATAAAAGGCATACACTCAAGTCTTAAACTAAGGCCAAAAAGCCTCAATAGAACATGAATGACAGTACAGGGGAACAGAAATAAAAAATTCTCTGGCAAAGTTTAGAGATATGCTGTAGCTTCACACAGAACTTTCAGCAATAAATTAAGACTTTAAAAAAAAGTCTTACAATATATAAAGGACTATGAAGTGCAAAGTAATGTCAACTAAACCAAAATGTAGTTTAATCATTTTTATTTCAAGTGTATTTTTAAAATCATAAAAATTTTATGGGTTTTGTAATCCAAAGTTGGAACATTTATTCTTCACAGCTTCAGAATTTGACAAGCAATTCCAGATCTTCCCTTCCAAATCCAGTCTTCTCTGCTCCTTTTCAGACTTCTGAGACCTAGTATTTAAACTACTCCATCCTAAATGTACAATTTCAGATAACCATTATACTGGAAACAGTCCATCAAATATAAAGAATGGTTTCTGTCCAAAGATCAGCAGTGAGGGGAGAAATATTAAACACCTATCAAAAAATCATTTATTCATTTAAAAAATAACAGAACCAGTGCTGTTCTCTATCATGCAAGAGAACATGTAAAATTAATTTACTTTTGTAGACTTTGGTAATGTTTTATTACTTACACAGGCCTCACTCTTACTTAAAGATCTCTTATGCAAAGTCACCATCAGGATTTACTGAGTAAAAACCCTGAGCACTAACATGGCCGTACGTGTGCTATTCCAAAGAGGAACAGGTTACTTTTGAGGAAAAGAGCTCCCCTGGTAACTTCTCTCAAATACTTATTTTAAACAAACATAGTTAATGGAAATTAAACCAGCTTTGGGTATTCTCTAGCACACTGCCCACCAACAAAAAGGGAAATCAAAGCTTTCTTTCCTTTTTTAGAAAATTTTCCATCATATTTACTTTTTAAGATTACAACTTTTTCACTTTTTTTTTGACTGCCTAATACAGTATTTAATAATTTTAAATTCTGCATTTCAATGTTGTAAGAGTTCTTTTTCAAATGATTTTCACAACCCAGAACAAAGACACCAGATCAACGTTCTCAAGTCACACTGTTTGACAATGATGATGAGATGAAAATGGACGGATATCTGAAAATAGGTATTCTCTCTGCTCCAATGCTGACCAAGTTTTTAAAATGTGAGCAACACAGAACTCCATTCCTCTGGAAATCCCTCAAACTCAGAATGCCTCCATTTAATAAGTCAATATATTATTCTTAAAAATCAAAGTTTGGTCACTAGGAAAGACTGAAAAAAAAATTATTCCCCCCCCCCCCAAAACAACAACAAAACAGTCCTAAATACCCACTCATCTCCCTACAAAAACAGGGAAGTAGTTGGGACTGAAACCTTTAAAACTAAAATTTCAGCTCATAAAACAGTGCTGCTATTTGCTCAAAGGTGCAAGTCCATGTATTTCCTTCTCTAGTATTTCCCCATTTATAAGTTTATTTCTATACACACACACGCGTGCGCGCACACACACACACACTCACTCACACATACTCTTACTCTCAAGTAAGACACTTTTTTGTTTGTTGATAAATTATGAAGATTATGAATTAGGTGTATATAGGGTTTCGTAGGTGCTTTGTAAACATCAGTCACTTGGGTCCTTTTCTCCAAAAGCCTGAAACCAAATTATGCAACCAGGGGTCACTACTTTCCCAGACGCTGTTCACAGGCTGCATATTGACGGAGGGCTGAGAAAAAGTCCTCATATCTGATGTTTAGGTGGGAAGGCAAAGAGCTGAAAAGAAAGCACAGGGGGAAAAAAGCAATTAGATGACATATCGTAATTTGGAGGGGGTAACCAGAAGGATAATGACCAAAAAGAGGCTAAGGGCAGAAAAAAGTAAATGATAAGCATAGAGTATGCAAACCATTTCTACTAAATGATTACTACATTCACTGTGAAACAGTCCAAGTAAAATATAATCTCTCTTTTCCACAAGAAGAGAAAAGCAACTTGCAGTGAGCTAGAGATTCAAAACCTATTAAAGCATAAGTCTAGGTTATTGAAAAACTGGAGATCTATTTATAAATAATTTCACTAAAATGTGCTTCAGGACTTCATCCGGCTCTACTTGAACGTTTATGAACACCAGGTTTAACACTGGCGGAGCGGCACAGCATCCCCACGTGATAAGATACTCAAGTCATGTGGCGAGTAACAAAGAAATGAAGACTATTACCTCCGCCGTTTCCAATTGCTCAAGGGGACAATTATAATGTGAAGACAAGTACTTTAAAGGCGGAGTTAACATACAGCTGAGGGGTTCCCCTTTAAGTATTTTAAACACCTAAATAATTTTCAATAATTAACATTTTTTAAAAATCTCTAACTTACACAGCTTTACTGTGAGGCTTTGGAAATTCCAAGCAGTATCATAGCCCAACACCTGGCCAGAGTAGAAGAGTCGCACTCGGAACTCTAGTCACGCGCACCGCAGAAGGATTCGACAAGCTGACCAGGAAGGAGCTCTGCCTGCCCATGCCACTTCTGCTCCACTTTCTTCATCCTTCCTTCCCCGCCCCCAGCTTTACTGAGATAACTGACACGTAGTCTTTATCCTTCCTTTAACTGCCAAGATTTCTAAAACAAGTCTCCAGCTTTCCTTCATTTCTTCATCTCTCAATAATCTCTGCCATCAACCTCTTACTCGACTGAAATGATATCCTCAAAGGACAAATTTAGTAACATTCTCACGAAAGCTTGCTTCAGTCATCCTCCTCGAACTACCCATTTTCCTAAGACTTCCATATTTTACCTCTTTTATCAATAGGCTCATCTCCTACCACTCCTCAAGAAGCACTTAGAGTCACCACCCTCAGGGCCTCAGAAGTGTCTTGTCTTGCTATTTCCCAGTCTGTTCGGTCAGGGATCTATCCTTCTTCTTGGTATTATGATTCAGACATTTTTCCTGCCATCATGGGTGCCTGTAGTCTGGTGGGTGGTAGATAAATATAGAGCAAACCTCAATATAACAGAGAGCTATGACAGACATATGTACAAAGATCCATGAGAAAGCCAGTTACGTGCTAGGTATCTGATGTCCATTATCAAATTTAAATCTTCCATTCCGTATTGAATTGCCCAGTTTACAAATAGACAGAGGTTTAAATAGCTTTCCAAAGTCATGTTATTGAGCTGCACAGCAAAGATTCAAACCAAGATTTGTTCTAAAACACACTCTTCCCTCCAAACCACTCCCAGCCTCACAAAGTATCACTGCTACCTTTCTTGTACGCCACCTGAAAGGCACCTGAAATAACATGAAAAACCCCTAGAGAAAAAGAGCCCAGAGAAACACACACCACCATAAGGAAACCCAGAGTCTGGAGACTTGAGTTCTAATTCCACTGTTACAAGCTTGAGCAATGTCTCTTCCCCATATAAAATGAGGCGGCAGCACCAAACGATCTCCAGCCCTTTTTGACGTGAACGCGCTACATCTTTTCTGCCTCTTTGTTTGACAACTCTTCTCCCTCCAGCCCCCGAGCCAGAAGATTTGGAGCCCTAAGAACTGTGCTGTTCTATGTATACTTGAGAGTGGTCCCCATTCTCACAGGTTCAACTACTTCTCCCTCCTAGGGACTGACCATCCCCAAATGTTCATCTACAACCTTGACTTCTCATCTATGCACCAATTCTCCATTTTCATCTGTCCTCCTAGGCATTTCCATCTAAAAAGGGCCTCAAAATCACCTTATTCCTGAATTCAACATCTTCCCTTCAAAAATCAATGCTCCTTTGACGTTTCCGTTTCTCTCAATAACATTGTAATTTACCCAGTCACTTACACATAAAAACTTAGAAGAGTCACTGCTTCTCTCATTTTTTAACACAATTAGCAAAGTCTTAGGCCTGCAATTATACTTGGTAATTACTTCTCATGAGAAGTAGAATTTTGATACTTTCCTCCTAAAATCCAGAATTTAAGTGTATTTTAAGGCTCTTAAGTCTCGCCTTTATTTTATTTTATTTTTTTAAGATTTTATTGGGGAATTGGGGGAGGGGAACAGACAAGTTGCTGTTGTTTTGTTCTTCAGTCTAGTTGTGGAGGATGTTGCTTCACTGGCCCAAGCTGGCACCATCACTGCACTCTTCCCGGGCGAGGCAGATCAGTCACTGGCTTTTGGACAGCCGCTCACGGTGGCTGCTGGCCGCTCACACTGGCTGCCGGCTATACATGGTAGCTTATGACAGCCCACTGCAGCAGGGGCTACAGCCTACGCCATTGCCAGCGACTCTCAGCAGCCCAGCTCCAGGTTGAGCTGTTGTTCAGCATCTTAGCTGTGGAGGACAGTGTCATTTGGCCCTCATATGTGGGATCCAAACCGGGGCCCTCTGGCATCCCAAGCCAGTTCTTAACCAATACTCCACCTGGCCGGTCTTCACCTTTATTTTAAATCAGCCACTGGCAAATACAGCCCAGGAGCCAGCCACATGTTTTTGCAAATAAAGTTTTATTAGAACATAGCCACACACATTTGTTCACATGCTGCCTGTGGTTGTTTAGGTATACGTACTAGTAAAAGTTGAGTAGTTGCAACAGAGAGGAATAGTTGCAAGAGACTGTAGGACCCTGTAAGGACTAAAATATTTATTATCTGGCCCTTTACAGAAAAAAGCTTGCCAAACTGCTCCATTAATAAATAAGCAATTTCATTCTCACCACTCTTTTCTCCCCTAAATTACAGCTTTGGCCTCTTTGTCTTTTAAACTCATCCTTTCCCAAATCCTATCTACTCTAGCACACAGCTGCCAAACAAATCTTCCAAAATCATCATTCCTGCATTATCCACAGGCTCAATTGTTTCCTACTGCCTGTCTAAATAATTATACACATTCCTTATGCTGGTATTCACAGTGTTCCCAATGTCCACATCCCGAAACTATTTGATTTCACCTCATATGACTGACACTAACTCCCTGCTGTGGTGTGGCCAGGTCCCTCACTATTTCTTTAAAATGTAATGTTCACTCCCCTACCCCAGCTTTCCTTTTTCTCCCTGCCCACCCTACACTTTTTACTTCTTCTCTAGTCACAAAAATTCCACTCTAAAATTTTATATACTGCAGATCAAGTCACATCTTTTCTGTATAATCAACAACTCTGGCCCACAGAGAAATCTTTAACTCCTGATCTCCTATGATAATTGATGTCAGTTCCAAACATTTGCACAATCACACACTCCCTTCGGTCTGAGTCATTTCCATGTCTTTATTTTACCACTGATACTGTGAAACACCTGAGGGAAAGGATCCAGTATAGTAGTTCTTTAGGAATTCCCACTACACCTAGTATAGGGCTGGGCTCAAGAAACACTTGCTGAATTGAACCAAGTCAGTATGCTTTGAATTACTTACATAATCTCAGTCAATCTCAGCTGCCAGGGAAGAAAGCCTAGTGTGCTCTCCAGAGGACCAAACTTCAATACTACATCAGGATCAGGGAAACCATTTGAACCTTGGAGAGAAAGAAATACACACGAGCTTAGCATGCGCTGCTTACAGATGAAACGACCAGGGGCAAATCTGTTCGTCAAATTGGCTTCTTATGCTTTGAGTATCAGTTCTCTTCAGCTGTTTCCATACCCCCATCCCACTGCCCAACATATACTTTAATATCTATGTTATTTCCAAACGTAGATGTTTTTTCTCAAGTCCATTTAACTGGAGTAATTCCCTGATAAAGAGGAATCCCTAAACCCTACAGGTAGCCCCCAAATCAGATCTATCTTTCAAGACTCAACTTGTTAAGTGTTCTCTTGGCATCCTGGAAACCGCACTGCTTTAATGGCACAAGTGCTTATTCTGGTTGCAAAGTCAAATAACTTTAGATGAAAAGAGACGTAAAAAGTCACTCCTTCCTTCCCCCATGCCCCTCATTTTACAGCTAAGGACCCAGAAAGACCAAGTTCCAACTATACGGTACAAATGTTCTCAGTGTTCCTCAGGGGCTGAGCCCCCTTGAAGGGGAAAAGGCATGGCCACTTTCTGCTTTACAAACTGGTTTCATATGAGACTTGGCTTGAGAAAAAAATGGGGGATAAGGATATTTGAACTGCTTAAAAATAGAGTAAAACATCTTAAAATAAACATCACTGGTATAAGAGAAAAGATGGTATTATTCAAGAGACCAAGGTTCCAACATTTTCTAATAACCTCAGCTCTGCCACTGACTTTCTTGTCACACAGCCTCTCCAGCACTTAGTTCCTTCATTTGTTAAATAAGGAGACTACATTATACAGGCCCATCCCGCAGTAATAAAGAATGTTTCCTAACGAAGTCTCTTTAGAAGTCCATGTTGGCAGAGTGAATGAATATAAAAGAAAAACACATATTCCTCTCCCTGCGGAAAAAGCAAGTTCTCTTCAGTAAAGAAAATAACAAGGAGGGACTTCCAGCTAATAGTGGTGTGAAGAAAGTGATGAATTCTCTCAAAACAAACAAACACAATGTATTCAACTCGACAAACCAACCACTAAAGGATACTGGATATTAACCAGAAGCAGGCAATTATTCTTTATAAAACAAAACAAAACATACCAGCTATAGCTTCAGGTTAAGAATCTTTGGCCTTCCTTCCTGGGAACGCTCAAGCCTCTACCCCCTAATCAACTGGAGAAAACTGCAGTTTTACCAGCACAGGGCTACAGCAAAAACTGGCAGGTTTGCTGCTTGCTGCCAAAAGATATGATTCAATGTGGAATTGGAGGTTGTGAGTAACAGGGAGGGGACAATGATAAAAACCTATGGTTTTGAAAGCTAAAAGTGATAAACTCCAAAGGATACAAATGAGGAAAACCCACAGCTTCACTCCTCTTAAATTATAGCCCAGTTAGGGCAAACAGTACAATGGCCAGAAATTTAACAGGGAGATCCTGGAAATAAGGGCTCAGAGCAGCTCTCCAGACATCCATGGCTGACTGGGAAACTACAAACATAAAGGAAAAGGAGGAAGGAGGATGGGGCGGGGGAGGAGGGGTGGCAAGAAAGTCCAGTGAAAATAGGCAAGGAAACTTGTGAACTGACTTGAATGCACTCTCCAACATCCCAGAGATTTTAGAAACCTTACAAACTTAAGATGTTTGAGCACAATCAGTGTGCAAATCATTGGCTGCCACATTAAACTGTGGACACAGAAAGCCAAACTAAAAAAATAAAATAAAAAATAAAAAAACTGAGCAGAGATAGCAGTAGTCATCTTATTTATAGACAACACAATCTTGTATTTAAAAAATCCTAAGACTCTACAAAAAGCACTACTAGAACTATTAAGTAAATTTTATCAAGGTCACAAGATACAAAATCAATATTAAAAAACCAACTGTATTTCCATACATTATCAACAAACAATCCAAAAATAAAATTAAGAAAATAATTCTATTATTAAATTCTAGTATCAAAACGGACAAAATACTTACAAATAAATTTACCAAAAGAAGTAGAAACCCCATAACCTAATTATAAAACATTGTTAAGAGAAAAATTAGGACCCAAATAAATGGAGATATATACTATGTCCATGGATCAGAAGACTCAATATTGTTAAGATGGCAATTCTCCCCAAATTGAGCTACAGATTAAACTCAATGCATACAAAAACAGAATTTTGGGGTTTTTTGTTTTTTGAAATTGACAAGCTGATCTTAAAATGTATATGAAAACGCAAAGGACCCTGAACAGGCAAAACAATTTTGAAAAAGAAAATCAAAGCTTACTATATAAGCTACAATAATCAAGACAGTGTAGCATTATAAGGACAAAATATAGACCAATGGAATTGAATAGAAAACCCAGAAATAAACTCGTAGATTTATGATAAACTGATTTTCAACAAAGGAGCCACAGTAATTCAAGGGGGAAAAGGCAGTCTTTTTAATAAGTGGTGGTGAAAGAAAAACAGGTATCCTATACCTCAAACCATTAAAAAAGGATCAAAATGGATGACAGACCTAAATATAACAGCTAAATCTATAAAAATTCTAGAAGAAAACACAGGAGAAAATAATTGTGACTTTGGATTAGGCAAAAATTTCTTAGATATGACACTAATGCAAGATCCACAAAAGAAAAAAATTGATAACTGGATTTCATAAAAGTTAAACTCTTTTAAAAAAACATTAAGAAAAAGCAAAAGCAAAGATAAGCCATGGACTGAGAAAATATTTGCAAATTACATTATCTTATCACTGATTAAAAAAAAAGACTTATACCATTATATAAAGACCTCTTAAAACACAATTATAAGATAAATAATGGATTAAAAATAAGAAAAAGATATGAATAAACACTTCACCAAAGAAAATACAAATAAAAAATGCTTACTATCATGAATCATTAGGAAAATATAAACTAAAACCACAATGAGATACTATTACATGCCCACTAGAATGGGTAAAAATAAACAAGAACAACAACAACAGAACAATTATGTTTTGGCAAAGATATGGAGAATCTAGACTCCTCTACTTTGCTGGTGGGATGTAAAATGGTACAGTTTGGTAGTTTCTTAACAGATAAACATTCACTTGCCACACAATCTAACAATTCCATTATAAGTTATATACCCAAGAGAAAGGAAAACATGTCCACACAAAGACTAGGATATGAATGGTCACAGTATTATTCAAACAAACCAAATGTACATCAGCCGATGAATGAATGAACAAAATGTGGTATATCCATAAAATAAAATACTATTCAGCAACAAAAAGCAATGAACTACTAATACATGCAATATAGATGAACCTCTAAAATGTTATGCTGAATAAACACAGCAAGACATAAAAGGCTATATATGATTCTATTTATATAAAATTCCTTAAAAAGCTAAACAGAGTCAGAAAACAGATCAGTAGTTGCCTCATGTTGAGGGTAGGAGGGAGTTTAACTGCAGTCACAGGGAAACTTTGGGGGATGACAATATTCAGAGGGTTTGTTGCTGTCAGAATGAGTTAACTTATAGACCGTACATTTTCATTTATCGTGGGTCTTCAACCCCTGACAGCAACATCTGGGCTCAGCACTTCTCCACAGGCTGGCTACCTGAAGGACCACCTTTGGTGTCTGCAGCACTTTCAGGACATCCTCACACATCACTCTCTGGTTGGGGCCTTACAGGATCCAGGGAACAGTCAACATCACAGTATCCTCTGAGCAGACAGCCTTACAATGGTCTACTATTCATGCAGCCTGAATACAGCTAGGCAATGACAGAGCAGAGAAGAGTGGGGTCTGAAGTGAGCAGTCAATCAAAGTAGAGAGTTAGTGAGACCAAGAGGCCAGACAAGGGCTGAGCTCTGTGATGGACATGTGTCAAAGTGGAGAAACAAAGAATGGAGAGTTAAATAAATAAGATGGAAATGCATGATTAATAGCTAAGGTAAATGGAGACTCCATGTGAATGAATAAAAATATATGTCTGAAATTGTATGACTACGGAAGTGCAATGAACATGAATTTGTTAGAAGTATTGCCTTTCTTGAAGAAGATCAAGGATAATGCTATAAACAGGGGGACCATAACATTAAGGCAAAAAGTTCCTAGAGAGCTCTAGAAAGAATAAAAAAACTAAAGGCTTTTATATAAACAGTTGAAGAAAAATAAATTATATAAAGTTGTATTTGGTACAACATGACAAATATAGTGGTATATTTGTTATACCATACTAGAAGGAACACTAAAAAGGACTCACGGATGACAGTAAGATTATATTCTTGGGACCACTTCCTAAATAGCTATTAAGTTCAAACTTAATAGAGAGTTCAAACTAAAAAGAGAGAAAAGGGCAGTGTGATTTTATAGTCTAATAAAAAATATATATTTGGTCTTTGTCTCAGTTTCTTAGCACAGAGCCCCTAAAACCTTTGGAATTTCCTGAGTGATAGAGGTAAAAGCGGTATATGTTGTTATTCATAAACCCCTTTCAACCACAGCAGTTTATGTTAATGAGGTGATTCTGGGTAGGCCTCTAGATAGCTTCATAATGGGGCCCAGTTGCCAGAGGAATCATGTGATTAGAGGGTTGTACCTTTCAGCCACCAACCTTCAGGTAGGGGAGAGGGGCTGGACATTGAGCTCAATCACTAATGGCCCACGATTAATCATTCCAGGTAATAGAGCCTCAGTAAAACCCCCTAGAGGTCAGGATTCAGAGAGCGTCCAAGTTGGTAAGAGGTACTGAGAGGTGGTGTACTCAAAGAGGGCATGGCTACCTGATACCTACATCAGAGGATGCGCCCCACCACCACCTCCTACTGCTACCTTGCCCTATATATCTTTTATATTTGGCTGTTGCTTAGTTGTATGCTTTCTAATAAACTTGTAAACATGAGTGCCTTCCTCAGTTCTGGGAGCCATTCTAGCAAACTATCAAACCTTAGGAGGGAGTCATGGGAACCCCCTATTTATAGCCAATTGATCAGAAGTACAGGTGGCCAGAGAATTGTAGCTGGCGTCTGAAGTGGGGGCGGCGGTCTTGTACGACTGAGCCCTTAAAGCTGGTAGGCTCTGACACTAACTCTGGGTAGTTAGTATTGGAATTACACCCAGCTGGTGTCTGGAGAGTTAGAAAATTCACTGTCAGTGTTAGACAACATCCCAGAGGGAGGCAGGCTGACAAGATGTCCTCCTTTTAAGAAAATTCATTACGCCTCCACCCCCACGCCCACCAAAGTCCTCTTAGGTCCTCTCCTTTACCAGTATGTCCTCATATAAGTGAGTAGAGTACATATTTTATTATCCCCAAACCATTTTCACAATAGGGGTCTTTAAACTTCAAAAATATAACACATATAACAATAACAAAAATCAGGCTTTATAATGTGAAAGGAACCTAGACAGTCTCCTTCATGCTGTATATTTGTGGGACAAAACTAAAAACAAACGCATATGACTTACTAAGTAAACTGTCTAACATATGTACATCCAAATCTGTGGATTTCTTTTGCTGCTGTGCTACTAACTCGCAAAATTCCTGAGCAGCTCTCACAATATCTGCTTTTCCATCTTCTGGGGACAGGACTTTCACTGCTGATTGGCAATTTAAAACTGGAGGAAAACACAAACAAGACATTAAAAGAAACATCCTCTTCCAGATATATTTCAAAATCTGTCTCAAGATATATTACATTCAGATCAAGATAAAGGTACAGTTCTTAGAGTAAACAAAACTCCATTTAAGCCCTTCAATTTCCATATCAAAACATACTTAAGCTACTCTCCTTTGAATGGACAAACACATGGTATTTGTGTACCTATTTAAATAGTGTCTTTTCAAAGTACTCAGAATGACCTGTATCTGTGAATAAATCCTCTAGAAAATACAAATTTTAATTATAGGGTAAGTTACAATTTCTGCAAGTCTAAAATGGCATCTACAATCACAATACAGTTAGCAGTAACACGGAACTGAAGACAAAAAAATGTGTTTCAATGGAATATGCATTGTCTATAGTTCATACCCACCTTATCAAATTCTATGATTCTATCAAAGCTATTTTACAACTGATAGGATTCTAGGTAAGTAACAGCAATGCCAAATTTTGTCTACAGAAGTTCCCTCTAACTCCACACTCCACATAAACACCATTTCAATAGTCCTGATCTAGAAATGTGTCCATTCTTTGGATTCTCTTTTGAGCCAGTTATAAAATTTGCCTGGTAGTTTATGAGTTAAATAAAAACTTGAACATGTGTTTATTTTTTAGTATCTACGAAAGTCATGATTTTCTCTTTTTCTGAAAATTATCTTTTAACAAGATGAAGAAAGAAAATCCTAAATCTGATCATTAAAGATGGTGACAATAAAGACTAACGGCAAAATGAATGGATCAATGAATGAATGACAGAATTTGCCTTGAAACACAAAACACATCTGCCTATGTTAGGTGTTCCATTTTACATTCATGCTTACCTTGATCATCTTTGTCATTACTATTTGCAAACTCTGTTGAGTATTTGGAACAATCTAAGCCCAGAAGTTCCTGCTGTTGTTTTAAAATTTCATCCATCAATCTGGAATTGTTTCTTTTGAAAATACCTTAAAAAGAATAAAAGCAAGTAAATCCCAACTAGGTTAATGTATCCTCTTTAATAATTAGTGGATGTTGCTGTGAAAATAACACTGGATTCAGAACTAAACAAATTCCAAATGAAGTACTGATGGCTAATTCTAAACTAGAATCTGAACAGAAAACATTAACTACAAAACTTTGTTAATACACAAGCCTGGCTTCAGGCTGAAGTCAGAAACAAAACAAAATAGGGGTAACTACTTAGTGTCAAAATGAATATGATAGAAATTTAGCCATACAAAGAAATTTTAAGAGATCAATGTACTTGACATCTTTATTTACAGATTAAGAAACTGTGACCCAATGTCCTTGGGACTTGTCCAAGAATTTATAAACTGCAGCAGTGGTCTATAGCCCATATCTTCCTGACTCCCAAGCTCATGTAATTTTCCTGCAGATTTACTTAGTGCATTCAAAACTATTATCTCCATTTGATTAGTTTTAAATAAGAGGGGCCATAAATTATGTAAAAAGTAGAAAATAGACAAAACTAACAAAATTTAATAAATTCAACAAAGTATGAAATACACCACTTAAAATTGTTTTTGATCCTCCAACCATGCACAGAAAAGTTAAAATTTTAATTACTATCATGTCATTGATGAGGATGAAGGAACTATGTGACATACATTTAATATAAAACTAATATAAGGAGCTCTAACTAAAAATAAACAAGTTTTTGGTTATTTTCATAGAGTCTAACCTTCTAGTGGCTACTGCCTTTTGGCCTTTACCAAGTGTTCCTTCCTCTCAGACATAGATTGTTTAAAAACAGTTCAGGGATTAACTGTGAGAGAATATAGCACAGAATCTATTGAATATGCTGTATATAAATGCCTACTTGGTAGTATACGTGTATTAGCAATTCAAAGATAAAAGCCATCTCCTTTTGTAGGAAAAGGCTTTGTAAATAAGCAAGACTTAAGCTGAGCTGACCTCAGAAAGTTAGAGAAGAAAATGGTCAGGATATTAAGATGGAGAAAACGCATAAGAAAAAACACTGGACGCTCAAAAGACAGACAAATGCTGCCGGTACAAAAGATCTGAGAAAAAGGACCAGGGGATAGGCCTAATTTTTATTCCATTTTGCCTGCTCAAAAGGTAACCAACCATTTCTGAGTAATGTGGAAAGGTATGGAAATTTTTTTCTTTAGGAAAATTAACCTAGTAAAAGTACAGACAAGGCCCGGCAGTAGACTACTGCAGAAGACCATGTATAATGTGATGAAGCAATGGAAAAGGAGTCACTGAAAAGAAGAATTGATAAAATAAAGAACATGACTTAATTAGAGGTGAACACATAAAATTCCATGGCTTTAATCCTGGGTAATAGAAAACGCTAACATTTTTTTAAAGTAAGGCAATTCTACAAAGAGAACTGGTGTGAAGAAAAAGATTAACATAGCTGATGACAGACTACTTAGGTTAAGAGTTTACTGTAAAAGTGATTAGAGACATGAGGGAAGGATGTTCAAAAGAGGTCGTCATATAAGCACCAGTATGTCGGGATCTTAACTGTTTTGCTTACTAGGAGCTAGCACAGCGCCTGACACAGAACAGACACTCAAATAAACACTTAATGAAAGATGACAGGTCAGAGATGACTGGAGGACTGGGGAAGGCCTCTTCAGGGTAAGTGACATGTCACCTGGCCCCTTGAAGAATGAGAATTTTACAGGTTGAAGCTGGGACGGTAACACAACAAAAATGGAGGATGAAGATGTAGACACACATTTGGGAGTCATCCCCCCAAAGCTGAGAGCATACACACACGAAATAATAAAGAAGATTTCCGAAGGTAAAAGAGTGTCCATGGAGAGGGACAGAGGGCTGAAGGTGTGGCTCCTTATGAAAGTTCAGAATCATTAAGATGCTAAGCTGGCAAAGATAACAGTGAACATTCTTTAACAGCCATATCCAGGGCAAGATTAAACCAAAAAAAAGATACTCCCAAATACAAAGAAAATCCTTAAAGGCAGGTGATTAATATCAGGAGCTATTAGAATAACGATGTTTAGAATAGCAATACTTTGTGTAGCAATACAGATGTACAGGATATAGTCATTATCCTCAAGTCAATCCTAAAATTCACATGTATGATACAAAAACAGCATATAAATATATGATAAAGGTTTACAACTATTACAAGATTTCCAATTACCTACACAAGTAAAGGAAAAAGAATAGTTTAGACCACACTTAGGTCTATATTATAGGGTTAAACTGGAGAATGCATGTGAATTTCAAAATTTTCTTATGCTAAAAATGTACAATTTCTACAACACTACTGCTAGGACAATGAGTTTATGAAAACTAAAATGTTAAACAAATCTATTTCTCATATGAACTATGATTTATTCATTTTAATAGTAACCCAACACTAGGAACCCTTGCTTTTGTCTCTTCACATCACACTGTTTCCTTTCTTTGATTCTTTAAAAGACCTATGCTTCAATTCTCACCAATTCACTCATCTTTCCCTTCCTCTCCAGCTCTCTCCAAGGCAATGGATGACATTCTTCATCAACAAAATAGTCACTATGTCTTTTCAATCTTTAGTCTTTCCTTCTCAACCTTTCTGAAGCATCATGACCACACTGCTTCCTCTCAAAATTCTATCCTCAGTCATGCTTATCTGAAATGTCTTCTCCTGGTTCAACTCCCAGCCTGCTCCTTGAGTGGCCCCTTCTCACTCTGCACTGAATCCTTTGCCTCCTTCCACTCCTAAATGGAGATTGCTCCTCAAAGTTCCTACTTCAGCCCTCTCTTTCTGTCCAAGTACTCCTCCTGCTCTGATTCTAGTTACAGGATTTTAAAACCACTCAGGAACAGGACAAGAGTAAAATCTGTGAGGCAAAATTTATGGGCGTGCCAAAAACTCAGTAATTGAGATACATAACAATAATGCATTATCTTTAAAAACTTAAAATTAATGCACGACACCCTTGAAGAATAAAACGTTAAAATTTTAAGAAGAGCATTTGGTTCCTAACATTTCCAGTGCATTCAAACATCTAATCCTACCCAGAAGTTCTGTAAGCATCTGAAAAGAAACAAATCTAAAACCTGGCAGCTTATATTTTAAAGCTAGCTCTCAAACACTTATATTATTACATCAAGTTAAAAGAAATGGAGCAGTCTGTAAGTGTGAAACTTATATGTACTTAGGGACAAGGCTTGGAGGACAAAAGGCAATATGAGAACAGTAATGTATAAGGGTAATGAGACAATAGGTGATTTAAAAATATAACTGCTATAAACCTGTTTATAGCATGAAAAAAATAAAAAAATTGCCCTTCTTGTTCAAAAAAAAATTTTTTTTTTTAAAGATTTTATTGGGGAATTGGGGGAGGTGAACAGTGCTGGGGAATCGGGGGAAGGGGAACAGACAAGTTGCTATCGTTTTGTTCTTCAGTCTAGTTGTGGAGGACGTCGCTTCACTGGCCCATGTTGGTATTATCATTGCGCCCTTCCCGGGTGAGGCAGATTGGTCGCTGGCCTCTGGACAGCCGCTCAGGGCGGCTCTTTGCAGCTCACGCTGGCTGCCAGCCACACATGGTAGCTTATAGCAGCCCACTGCAGCAGGAGCTGCAGCCTACGCCGTCGCAGGAGACTCATGGCAGCCCAGCTCCAGGTCGAGCTGTTTTTCACCATCTTAGCTGTAGAGGGCAGTGTCACTGGACCCCATGTGGGATCCAAACCGGGGCCCTGCTGCTCAGAGCTGGCGTCCCAAGCCAGCTCTTAAACAACGCGCCACTCGGCCGGCTCTTCTTGTTCTATTTCTAATAAAGGCATCATTACCTGCCCAGTCACCCAGGTCCCTTCTCTACCCTCCAGCATTATCGGCACCACCCGCCAGTACCCTGTTAATATGCTGAACCCATATGCTCTTCTACAGCAATGTTTCCTGCACCCATCTCCTTTTGTCCATTATCCCCACTGTTTCAAGCAACAGTCTTCTTTATAATTTTACAACCACCTTCTTTCTAATGGGTCTTTCCTGCCTCTTCTCATATCACTAGATTGACTACAAGATCAGTTTTCTTTGGGTACATCTTCAAACCCGGCACATTCCAACTTGAATATCTTCAGTGACTCCCAAAATGCTTAATGTATTAAGAACAAGCTGCTCAGGTCAGTATTAACATTCCAGCCCATACTTCTGCACTCGGTGGGTGGAAATAATTTGTTTATAAAATAAATGAATCTATTTCTCTATAGTGCTCTATCCTCAGCAAATCAGATTGTCTTACATTCCTCCAAAAAACAGTGACTCCCAACTTCCAGCCTTTGTTATGTAACCTAGCCAGTCCCACATCTGTAAAATTCTCCTAATTTTTCACAGGCTACCTGAAATGTCACTTACCCTCAGTCCCCCAGCCAGATGTGCCTCATTCCTCTGACTGGCCCTCACCTACTCCAAATATACACATTTTGTTCAAACTCTTTAACAAACCAATATTCTACTTTTTACTATCTATAGTGATAGTTTAACTCCATATTAAACTACAGTGTTGGGCCAGCCGAGTGGCGCGATGGTTAAGAACTGGCTTGGGATGCCAGAGGGCCCCAGTTCGGATCCCACATATGAGGGCCAGTGACACTGCCCTCCACAGCTAAGATGCTGAACAACCTGGAGCTGGGCTGCCTTGAGTCGCTGGCAACGGCGTAGGCTGCAGCCCCTGCTGCAGTGGGTTGCCATGGGCTATCGTATGTAGCCAGCAGCCAGCGTGAGCGGCCGTCCAGAAGCCGGCGACTGATTGTCTTACCCGGGAAGAGCGCAATGATGGTGCCAACTTGGGCCAGTGAAGCAACGTCCTCCACAACTAGACTGAAGAACAAAACGACAGCAACTTGTCTGTTCCCATCCCCCCAATTCCCCAATAAAAATCTTTAAAAAAACAAACAAACAAACTACAGTGTTAGCTGTGAACTTGTGTCTTACTCATCTCTTTTCCCCTAAGGC